GACATGGTAACAACAGAAATCTGTTATCACCCCTTCCTCATGTTCCTGAAAAGATGCCTGTTTTTCTTCTAGTACCCTTTGGTGCCTAAAATTGATAAGAGAAAAAGAAGGGAGAATTCCTTCACAATAATCTCCATTCACAAAACTCTTCAGGCTTCAATAAGCTTTTTTTTTTTTTTTTTTTTTTTGTGAGAATCCAATTGATAGGTTCTTGCAGATGGACAACCACACATTCTTCGCGAAAAAAAAAAATGATCACCAGAGGCAGAGGTCCCAAAGTGTGCATTTCAGTAATTGTCTAAACTAGTTCCCAAATCAAAAATAAAAAGTGAGAAATCTAATTATGGATCAATCAACCGATTCAAAAATACTGTTAAATAGCCAAGCCCTGAGAATATGCAACTAAAAACAAAAATCAATAGGAAAAACCTCATCTCTGGGTAGGAACGGTAATATTGGAAACAGAATTTCTACATCCTGTGATCAATCAAAAACATTAAAAAAATATTAGTATATACTCACCTTTTTTAACTCCCAAGAGAACATTTGGTCACCTCTTACCTTAAATTTTGCATCAAATAGCCTCCTAACGTTAGATACTAACTCAGGAGAAGGAACAGTCCCATCAGTCAGTGTATGAAGAACCTGAAGTAGTAGAGAAGAAATAAGAAAAAGAACTATTAAATCAGCCCCAGTTGCTCTGATCTTTTAACTTTTATGTGAACTAAGAATTAGGTAGATGATTGGTCACTGAGACCTGCATCAGAAGGTTCTCACTTCCACTTGGTGGGTCTGAAATAATTTCAAGAAGCTCGGATGATGATCCCATAGTACGAACCAGTATTGGAATGTGACGATGGATTGCCTGCACAAAACAGCCATTAAAAAGAAAAGGTCACAGATAGAGTTGGAAGAATCAAGAAAATTGTATCTTCAAATCCTGATTTAATTATGCTAACCTGCTTAACTGACTTTGATGCACTTTTATATATAATAAATACTTCGCGGAAAAGATAATGCTTCTGTCAACCAGTTTTTGACAAATAAGTTGATGATAAGAACCTCAACCAGTAAAAAAGAAGAAAAGGACTTTAATCAAATCAAGCAACACCTTTGTACAAAGTGCAAAATATAATGACATGCACCGTTGGGCCTCAGAAATTGAGGACGACGCACTTTCAGACATGCACGATTGATCTGTGTCTGAGGAGCTGTCTTTACCAACCATTCCCCCTGCCTGATGTTCGTTTGTTGGTTTTTCTGAGTCAATATCCTGTTAAAATAAAATATCTGGGCATAACTAAGCCATTTACCAGAAGTCAAGGCCCAATACTTTCCATCATTTTCCAAAAACACCAACACCTGCTTGCAGCTTCGACTCAAACAAGAAAAACATAAAGAGAACAGAAAATCCAACATAACATAGCATGCAGTATGCACTCTATGCATACATAACTTTGTTCATAAAAAAGGAAATCTTCGTTAGCCACCCTACCACATCACTGTCCCAATACTTTTAAATGTGCATTTCTATATCCTTCCAAACAGGGGAGAACAAATATGCAACCTAGATTGTTCCTTCATAGATGACTTAAACAGCTTTTATAAATAAAATTAATACCCGATAGTACATAATCTGGTGCACCTCAATCAAATTTTAATTCACCCAGAAACTTGTGATAATTGACACATAAATCCAATACCATTTGTGATCGAGTTACTAATGCCACAGCATCTGTTCTTTCTGTAATACCACCCTTTACGGTAGAAAATAACATGTCCTTTGCAAAATCTTCTATTTGTTGTGCAATAGCTGGTAAAGGATAAAGCTTATTTGCAACCTGTAAAATGTAAGACATCCACAGCCGTAAGAATAATTATACCAAGGAATTGAATCATGTTTATATAACAAACTCCTGCAGCATACCAATCGAATTGCTTTCATGCGAACTTCCTCCAGGCAGTTAACTGCACTCTTTCCAAGGTGAAAAAAACAAAGTCAAACAAACGCAACAAAAGATATAACACAATAAACATGTGCTGATACTCAAAGATAAATGAGGAAGCAATATACGACGCACAAAATGAAACAGAAGGAAATATTCGAGTCTTACAGGTGCATGAACATAACATTAGCAGTAAGATATTCACCAATTTCAGATTTCAGAAGAATACATATCTTTAATTACAATAATATATATCTTTAATTACAAGATGAAAACAATTAGAGAAAAATGACTGCAATCTGCAAGAAAACACCAACATGGTGACAGTAAGTGCAATTATAAATGGAAGAAACCTGCAAAGCAATTTTCAAGCAGACATCTCGAATATTGGGCCGCAGCAAAATCAGGCTCCACACAGCACTGAGGCCTTGAGTCACTCGATCTCCACTTTGCACCTCCTTTTCAGATTTCTCACAGGGTCCAGGGCAACACAAGCACTCCAACAATTTCAATACAGACTTTGGGAGATAAGGAGCGTCACCAAGCAATCTACTCAAAGATTTGTCAGATGGTGGGAAAGAATCTCTGAGTGCTTCAACCTGAATGAGCACAAAAGTTCCTTCAAAGGTTGCATTATGAAATAAGACATGACTAAGTTGCAGAAGGATGGATACAAACCACATTCAGGAGGAAAGTCTCATAGGCAGAAGTAGCAGTCGTTGAAGAAAAGAAATCATTTTCCTCCTCTGCCTCCCCATATAACCTGTAGAGGACACGCAATGTCAACTCATGTCCCTGGAGACATAAATGGTTACCATCAGCTACCAGAGCATTTAGATCAATCTAATATGTAGTAAGAAATGGAAATCCTCTCTTTAGAAATTAAATAACAATAATTAGCACAAGTATATGCAAACAACATGAAATTTGAAGATAGAGGGCTGTTGATTGGCATCTTTTGCTGGTGAATTTAAAGCTGATTTTGATGAAAAGAAAAAAAGTTCATTAGTGTTCAAATGCACCCTAAATTGACAAAAAGGGACGTGACTTTTAGTAAAACAATATAAGAACAGCCTTTTTCTCAAGGATGTAAGTGAAAAATTAAAAGCTTGTTCGACCAACTTCATGGACCATAATACACAAATTAAACTTGAAATTTAACATTCCAAACCTTTTTTAACTAGAAGACCAACAAATTATTTTTTATTCTTTCACCAAACCTTCAGTTTTAAGCTCTAATTTCACTAAAACCTTAATAATTTATCAGAATCTAAAGACCAAAAGATCATCGTATATCCAAACACTTTTTCCAACTTAAAGTGCCCTAGGACTTAGAGCCTTATGAGTTTAAACAACTAAGTAAGTTGATCCAAATCCCCTCTAACTATTTGCCTGGCCACCACAGAAAGTAACAGACCCCCACTCCGAGTGTCGCATTGGGATGTTCATCAGTCTAAAACTACGACAAACCAGACCAGAATTTCAGAAAATGTAATACTGAAGTGCAGGACCAAACCAGTGGCACCAGGCTTCACTAGCCAATGGTCTTCAAAATCAGGACTAGTTCAGCATAGAACAAGAGAGAGAGAGGGAGGAGAGAGAGATAGGGATTTGATAGATGTGGTCAGCCAATCGGCTTGCTCAAGTGGGATGGTATGTATGGGAAATCAGGTTTGGTCTAGAATGGCTGGCTTGGAAAAAATGGAAGAAGAAGGCTTGGGCTATTGGCATTTTCAGGCTCCATTTCCAGCCCAGGTCTAGGAGAGGTCAAAATTTTTTCAAGGTCCTAGACTCGATACTTCGACTGGCATTATTTGTTCCTTCCAGTCTGAGATTCTCCAAACAGGAATTGAAACAACTTGCTATTCACAAAAGCCTATACCAGCCAAGATTGCAGATAAATTCATCCAAAATCTTAAAATTTTGTACTTTCCACGCTGAGAAAATTTCCTTGCCTCATAATATGGAAAATTATGACCTTGAAATGCCTGTTGCCATCATCATATTAGAGGCTTCTACATCATCTAACATTGCTAACCAGAAAGCTCTTTCACAAAGAATTTTAGGGCCCGCCCCATATAGCATTTTAATAAATTCCTTTTTGGTAAAGCCAACATTCACCAGAAATTTAGTGAGACCAAATATGACATTGAAATAAAGAAGCATCCAAAGCAAATTAATTTTATCTAGTGATTTTAAGCTCCATGACCGTGGTTACAATTTCAACATCCAGCCAGCAGGTAAAGCCATATTCATAAAATGAATTCTTTTACAGAGTAATTTTTCTTCTTTTGAAAAGATTATATGAGTGCTTCATTCACCTCATGATTTACATAATCTGACAGATGTGCTTT